AAATATCTTAAGCTGACTACAGAAAATGGAGTGTCAGTAGAAAGTGCTTTGCAGTGCATTTATCATGAAATCTTTATGGAGCAACTTTTGCATGGCCATGTCCAGAAATTCCCTGTTCCAGTAAATGCTGACATTAAATAACGGGGGGCTGCGAACTCCTAACTTCTAAATAAACAGCCCTGTCTGTGTGGATGTGGCTGACTTGATAGTCCTGCTGCATTTAGCAAAGTTTAGGAGGTTGATTTTGTATTTCATTACAGTGAAATTAATAGAAATAGTCAAAGAGTTTTCCAAAGCCGTGCGACTCTTTTAATGATGTTACATCTATTCAGCTATTATCAAGTATTGAGTATTGTTACTGTTGTAGATTACAAGAACAAGAAGCAGTGTGTTGCAAATGAGGATCTTTATGAATTTCCACTTAAGTTGAGAATATTACTGTTGTCTAGTTCATTTATCATCTTTGCTGTTTATATTTCTCTCATTGCAGCCTTCGAATTCTTGCACGGTTGATGACAGCTAAATTCCTGCATAGGGAAATCAGAGAGAAAGGAGGGGCTTATGGTGGAGGTGCTAAACTCAGTCACAATGGCATATTCACTTTCTACTCCTACAGGTAGTAGTGGGTTCATTCTTTGCAGTTCATGTCTGAGGGGATCACTGACTGCACTTAAGCTTATCTTTTTTTTCACTTAAGTTGTAGCTCTTTCAAGATCAGGTGAAATAAAAAGCACATTCAATCACAAGAAAGTGGTTCGTTGATGATGATGTTCAAATTAGTTTGAAGTAGGTGCATTTGTTGATTAACTCTTCCTTGCTGTCCTTGGGAGAGCCTGACTTACCTCTGCTGGTAGCGACCATTGTGTCTTTGTACTCAGCTGTTTGCTGTCCAGACCAGATTTGTGTAAAACTGGCTTTAATTAATTTATTTTTCTCTGGATTTAGGAGGCCCTAAAAAAGGCTATTCTAAATTTTAGACAAGGAAGTAGAATCATGTTATTGCCTAAGGTCATTCAGTGACTGGGTGGAATCATCAGAGATTCAGCAGAAAGCACTGCTTGTGATGAGTTGGAATTGCCTTTTTATTTTTATTTTTTTATTATTTTTTTTTCCTTGTTTTTTTTGCCTGTCCAAAACAGTTACCTGGCATTGTTCTTACCAAAGCACTTTAAGTTTAAATTTGAATTCAAGTTATTAAAGACTAGCTTTAATCCCTGCTAAAAGTGTCATCTGGCTGGAGTCCTGGCTTAGATCATTTTCCTAGACTAAAGGTAGTGTGAGTCCTTGGTTGGGATTCCTAGCTAAAATTTGAGCAGCCTTGCCTCCCTGTGAAGCTTCAACGTGGTAGGACTTGTTCTGCTTAGTATTTCAATAGTTGTTAACCTGTTGCACCTGCTTTACAGAGAGCAAAAACAGGTGTAGTGGGAAAAGCAACTTGGAGAAGATAGGGTATATAGTAAGTAGCACTGCTGGTATTTAATGGCAGTTAAGCTTACTAAGCTGTTGCAGACATTTGATAGTGTATCGTAAATGGTGCTGTTTGCCATCTTTTTGTAATACCCATTCTCTGCACATTGCCTTGAAACTACTTTAAGGTAACTGAACTTGCTGGACCTGTGTATCCAAAACTCCGAATGTGTCTCATTTATAACACTTCTTTCTTCTGAAAAAGAAAACAAACAAGCCAAAAAAACAACACAAAACCCAAAACCTCTTTTGGCAAACCAAGATTAAGTTTATCATTTGGTTTAATGCCCATCTATGTATATATGTTCATGTGATGCATAATAAACTGTGAATGAAATGAGGAGAAAGCAATTACAGCATTTTATAATAAGACTGAATTAATTAATTGTACTTTTTTTTTTTTTCTTATAAGAGACCCAAATTCATTATCCACCTTGAAAACATTTGAGAAAGCTGTCGAGTGGGCCAAATCTGGAGAATTCACACAAGAAGATATCGATGAAGCTAAGCTAGCAGTATTTGCTGCTGTAGATGCACCAATAGCTCCTTCAGATAAAGGTATATTCTCACCAGCCTTCCAACACTGTCAGTATTTAATTATTTTTTTTTTAATTAAGTTTCAAGGGAAGAAAATAGTTTGCTCAACGGTATCATATGGTAATATTTGTCCTTGGCAGATGTGAGACCATTGTAGTTTCAATGAAAGGGTGAATTCCTGTGTTCCTGACACAAGAATATATAGTGCTTATGAATGCCTCTTAACTTGTAGGGTGACTTTTTTTTTTAAGAAGTTAAAGCATAAAAGTCTGTCTGGTACGGTAGAGGGTGTTATGCTCTTTACATATCTGCCTTGGTAGTCTCTTCACATCTTTTCAGTTTGCTCAGTTTTCCCACCCTCCTCCATTCTCATCTTAATTTCAGTCCAAAACTTGCCAAGTTAGCATATATTCCTTTTGCATACATAAATGAATTGTTAGTTTAATATTACTATTATTTCAATATCTACTTGTATTAACACTAACTTACTAAACAAAATTTTAAATTAAGCTGACTTGGAGCTGATGGAACTTGGTTTTAGTCTGGGCAAATAAAAAAGTAATCAATTTTGGTTGCCATTGAGAGTGAAAGGCATGCATATTGAGTGTTGGTATTTGTGACATCCTTTGATATTTGTTAACAGAGCTGTGGCAAATTTAGTGAAACCCTGAAGAGAAGAACATTGTTCAATGGGCCTGGGAGCTGTTGCAGAAATCCCCGTCCCTTCACATTACTGTTACTTTGATCATAGTGCCCTGCATAAGGACATGAACAACCTTATGTGACTTTGAAGTCAGCCATGCTTTGGTCAAGGGATTGGACTAGTTGCCAAATGTCCTCCCAAGCCGTTTCTCCCCCTCTCCATTGCAGTTACTTCTGTGACAAAATGTTTTTCTATTATTATTCTGGAGTTCCCTGGTTGTTCAGACCTATAATACTAGTTTTAACATTACTATTGAAATGTTGGAGGCAAGTATTCCAGCAAAAGCACTAAAAGATTTGTTTGCAGATCTCTCTGTGTAGCATAAAAAGGTGATCAAACCTTTGTCTTACATGTGTATTACAACTGATAGAAATGTTAAGATTTTGTTGTTATAAACTACAATAAAAATAGAAGCTTCATGAAATCCAGCTTAGCTACAACTTTTTTAGGAAGTATTGAGACTCTTCAAAATTAATCATGTTGGTTGTTGTGTGTTCTGGACCACCATTACATTTAGATTTTTGACAAAATAAATCACTTTCCAAATCATCTTCTTTTGCCAAATAGAAAACTCTTAGTACCTCAGAAAATGAATTTACTCAATTCCAACCTTGGACATTTGATTTACAGTTAGTTACTGTCTCAGAACAATGGCCTAACAGTAGTCTCTGTCATTCCCTTCCAGCACATGTACTTGTCTCAATTTGCACTAGTTTGTGCACTTAGTAGGAACTGAAATTCCAGGACACAAATGCAGTGCATGAGTTTTGGTTTTGTTTCCTAGGAATGGATCATTTCTTATACGGGATTTCAGATGAAATGAAGCAGTCACACAGAGAACAGCTTTTCGCTGTCAACAGTGATAACCTGGTTGATGTATCAAACAGGTAAGTCTGTGCTCAACTTAAAATGTTTACTGGAAAAATAGGAGAAATACCTAATTTGAAGAAGAAAACAGTTTGTGAAAGTTACTGTAATAGTTTTTGGATTTCTTCCCTCAGTCATTCATACTACTTTCACTATTTGCTTTTGTAAACCCAGAAAGAGAGATATTAATTAAATCTTGCTTACTGCATTTTAGCAGTTGTAACCTCCTCCTACATTCTGAGTTGGGGGGAGATAATTTTACTTTTGAAGAGTCCAGAAACTGTCTGGAGTACAGACATCTAGCTCCTGGCCATATGAACTGGTTCTTCTAGACATTGTATTGCTTTAGCCTTCAGAATTCCACTTCAGACAAGAATTCCCTTACTTGAAGCAGACAAGGTTAAGGAGATAGGCTAGTTACGGTTGTGCCTTGATAGACTTGTCTTGTGATAACTGGGGAAAAAACACTAAATTTAAAAGATGCTGTAAAAGCAAACAACGGGCACTTACCAAACAGCACTTCTTCCTGAAATGGGAATATTTTTAACATGTATAGCAGTTACAGATAACTGAATGCAGCAGCTTTTCATTTGTTTGTTTGTTTCTTGCAGGTATCTTGCAGTTGGTAAGAGCACTCGTGGTCAAGCTGTGCTTGGCCCAGAAAATGCAGATATCACCAAAGATCCCTCATGGGTCAAACGATGAATTGCTGCTGAACATTCAAGCTAATACAAAATAAGTCACGTTGTGTGACTGTATAATTAGGGTTTTTGTCGTAACTTCTAACTGCTATAATCCAACTTAAAATGTTCATTGCTTCTTTTAACAGTGTCCAACAAACTGGTTAAAAGCTGTCCTTATTTCAATAACTGTGTGATAAATTTTCTAACCATACAGTATTTGAGGGCAAGAATGATTTGCTCTTATGGCAAAGACAAACCATAATATTTTACTGAAGACTCCTCCAATCACATATGAATACTATATAAATTAAATATTTTTGTATATGTAAAACTCTAGAGTTTTAAGTGGTGTCTGTTTGAAATCATGTCTGCTGTTGGTTATATAAAAACTGTGTCTCTCACCCTGGCAGATTTCATTCTTTGGTGTGACAATTACAGCTTTCTTTCCATAGACCACCTACAGACAGAGAGGAGCTTTGTGACAGTACATTCCACCTTGCATCAAGCCAAATTTATAGTGAATTGCAGTGTAAGTAGACAAATCACTAATGAATCAGTGTAGACTGTATTTCAAGTTCAACTTTTCTTGTTAGTTTGGCCAACAGTCTGTTATAGTTTGATACTAGACTGGTTAGGGAAAGAAAAAGCAGTTTTCCTTCACTGGTGGTATAGAGAATTCTTCATGAAGCAGTATTTCCCCCCTGCTTAAAAGCAGGTGAATACAATTTCTGACAAGTCAGTCATGATGTTTGCAACAGTACTTTATTTCACTTCAGATACATTAAGCACATCCTGTAACTCAACACAAAGCTAGCCATCTACACTTACTTGTCGGGTGCAAGTACTCTGGAACAAAGTGCAGAAGGTAAGTAACTTACAGAGTGCATAGAGCAGTGTTGCATTATGGTTAAAGGGTAGTATCAGTAACTGGTGCTTATCCATTAGATGCTGGGGTTTACTTCAAACATAACACAAATACAGGACAAAATCTGTGTGACAACTGGATGTCTTGTTTCACGTAAAGTGCTGGTACAATAATTTAAATGTTACAAAACAAGGCTGTAATGATTCTAAAGCATTGTTACTCACAATGTGCATCTATTATAATAATCTAGAAGTGATGTGTTCAGATGGTTCCAGTTTCTACTTCCTTTTGGCTGTGCATGGCAACATGCTCCAGCTGGCCGGAATCTGACACATCGTAACTAGTCTTGTACTTGGCCAGGATTTTCATCAGTGGTCGCAGCTTCAGCCACCATTGCTCCTTGGGAATTCTGTGTCTGTGAGAGGTATAGTGGGGGAAAAAAAACAAAGGTGATTTACTTGGTAGATAAGACAGACACATTTTGTAGGTCATTTGGTAACACTGACAGTAATGGCCTTCCTTATAAATAGATATTATAAATAAATATTATAGATATTTTAAATAGATATAATAAAATATTGACATTTACAGTGGGATGTAAGCACTGACCCAGACTGGGGAGAAACAAGAACCAAATACTGAAGGACCAAACAGCTTTTACTATAAAGGTGTTTTTATAGGTAAGGATAATACCAAGTTGGGCACAAAAAAAGCTGCCCCACTAAACTGTACCAGAGGTAAATGAGGCATTAGAGAAAAGACAATTATGAGAGTTATTTAAAAGGACAGTGGAGTCCCAGAATTCATAGCAAGAGACTTCCATGTAAGAGGAGAATGAAGAGAGTTAGAAAAGACAAGTGAACAGCGTGAACCCCTGGCAGAATGTTGGCCAAAGAGAAGAGTGGAATCAAATGTTTGGCAAATGCTGTGTGTCAGCACTGTGGAGAAGTTGTTTGATGTGGTAAAAAGAAGCCTGTGTTGGGATGTTTAAAATGTAAGCAGGGTATACATACACAAAGTCTGTTTCAGTCTTCAGCTCAGCCACGGGTTGGAAAACAAGGTTGCGTCTACGCATTCCCAGCAAACACACTGAGTCATCAGTATTGGCAAATATTTTTCCTAAAAGAATGAAATAATTTAGGATCTTTCTTACTCAACATTTGCAAGGGCAAGTACCCTTTTTCTGTAATTAAACTGAATTGGAAGTTTACAGTAGCTTAATTCCAGTTACAGGATATTTAATATGATACAACATCAATTAGTACTTTATTAGAGTTAGGAGATCTTCATGGTTTTAATTTAACTTTGGTGATTAGCAATGAAAATACAATGTAATTAAGCAACAACAAGACTGATTTTTAACATCCAATTTTAAATTAGATTTTAGTAAAGCACTGTTTACAAAAATTCCCAAAGAAGACATATTACCTTCTTCTGTCTCCCATGTAGCCACCATGAAACAAAAAGGAAGAACAGATGTAACTATATAACCATCAATTCCTTCATGCATGAACAACTGCAATCACACTAGCATTTCTTTAAAGAAAGATAAAAAACAGCTATCTGAATTAGTAACCTCACTCAAGGGGAAATCTCAGAATAGGAAGCACAGCAAGACAGTAAAAATAAAAACAATCAAGAATGAAAGTATGTTGACTAACAAGCATATACACATTTGCATGTTTGCAGAGAGTAGTCTTTTATACTGATAGGTAGTCAATTGTAGTAACAAGATAGCACTAAATATTTCTGCACCTTTCCGGTAGGTTTCTTTCAGTTTTTTGGAGATCCATTGCATAGCTTTTGCAGAAATCTTTGTCCCAAAGTTTCTATCAAATGGTGAAGGTGCACCACCCTGTATGAAAATTCAAGTGTGGGTTAGTTTAGTTACCAAACCAGTTTTTGTGTCTTTTTACTTTATCAGTCATCTCTGCTAAGGGCTGTCTCCACCTCTTCTTACTGCCATTTCCTCCACTTAGAAAAAAAAACCAACAACCCACCATGCAAATCAAGCTAAAAAAATTAAATTTGTGTTAAGCACCTGTGTAATTCTCACTGGATCAATACTTCTCACTTAGATAAATTAAAGGCACTGTTTTTTTCCATATCTCCCCCTTTGTTCTGATCATTAAGTACTGCCCAGCTATCACACTGCCTGCCACATGACAACTCTGTTTCAGTAGAATATAAACCAGGGAACTGTTGAAGGAAAGGTGTTAGAATGAGCCTGATAATAGGATGAAATACTAGGATGCATATGTAGGTAAAACAACCGCATCAGGACTACTTACACTAATGATAATTTATATTTTTTTGGTTGCTTTCGTTCCAAGTACTAGAGCAGCCTTTAGTTCTGGGAATAGAAGTGTTTTGTGTGGTTGGTTTTTTTTAAACCCTGTCTATACTACATCAAGTCTGACTTTTCTGTCCATTTGCAATCCAGCAGATGGGACTGAAATTACATGTGAAGTAGTTCCAAATAGGTACAGATTGTTTAACTATTGTCTTGACCTTCAAGTAAATGCATAAAGTGCCACCCTCAGTGTTGAATAACCTAAAAATACATGAGTAAAGGGAATTACGTAAGGCTTGAAATTACTTAAAAGGAGTGACATTTGTTTTGCTACTAATACTTTAGAAATTTGGCTTTACGTATTTTTTTTTTTTCACTACCTCAATCTTTATGATTAGTGTAGCCAAATTAGAAACTTACTACTTGCCCACTAAGAAGCAGTATGGTGAGATAAAGAGATGCAAGGTACAAAGAGCACAATTCTGTCTTCTAGAAGAACAAGCTATCTGCACGTATTCTTACTGAAATCTCTTCCAGGGTTCAGAAGTGAGATACACTATGTATGAGCAGATCAGTGTGTTCTAAGAATATATTACTATAATAAGATAGCTGTATTATCTATTTAAAAGTGTAATTGTGTATTAATATAGACAAGAGAGGAATAAAAATGAAAATTGTTAAGAATCTAATGTGTTTTTTTCCCTAGATTTTTTTAAGAAGGAATTGCAGTAAAACAAAAATCCACACACTTTCTTTAATCCTCAGTCAGACTTGCTTGAACTGCTTGAATAGTTTATGCTCTTTGTTTATTTGAAGTTAAGCTTGTCTGTAATGTAAAGGTCAGTTTTTACCTGTTGCATGTGGCCCAATACATTTTTGCGACAGTCAAACACTCCTTTTCCTTCTTCAGAATACAGCTGGTAAATGAAGTCAGTTGTGTAGTTCTCATTGCAGTTCTCATTTCTGTAGCAATTAAGGCCAGACACAGCAAATTTACTATTAAATTGCAGATGTCTTTACAGATACCGAATTGCATGTTTTTTCTCATCTTCCTGATATCAATAATAATGGCTTAGGTATTTTTATCTAATCACATACAGCAAGTTGCTTGGAATCTGTTGTTGTATAAGGTAGTGAAAAATATAATTTTATTTCTGGCAAGTTCATTATGCAGAGGAAAACTGCACTAAAACAAAAAGTCATTGACATCCAATACCATCATTTTGCCCTTTATAAAAACATGACTAGTGAACAGTACCTGTTCGTTACCAATATTGTAAACACAGTATATCTCTTTCACCCTAGTCATGTAACAAGTAGAGCCTGAACAAATACAGTAGTATCCTCATACAATTTATAGTGGTATTCATTCTGCGCCCCTTCACTAATTGGCAAACTGAAAACAAGTGCTCAAGAAAGAAAGAAGCTGATTCATGCTGTTTAAGAAGGTATAATTTTAAAACATGCTAATCAACATATTTTAAATGTTTTGATTTTTGAAGGGTATTTTGTTCTGTGTCATCTCCTGAAGTCTAAGTAGGATTTTTATAATAAAGGCCATAACATATGTGTGTACATATATGCTAGTTTTTACACTATCTTTAGTAAGAAAATCTCCGATAAGAGGTAAAGCCAATGAGAAAAGAGGCTGAACACAGGATGAAATATTAGATTGTAGAACAAATATATTTACATAGAAAGAAGTTAAGTTTTGAACTTGAGCATCCAGACAGCTCCCAAATCTGCCTTGTAAAATTACCATGCTAAGGAATAATCAAGGAATGTCAACCAATGCCATCTATTAACACTCACCTCAGCACTAGACCACGCTGGATACTGGTCTTCATTTTTTCAGTCAAGTGTTCCACATTAGCCTAGAAACAATTAAAATATTTCAAACCAGCCATACAGAACTCTAAAACAACTTTAATGAGCCTACATATCCAGAGAACTCCTGTAAAGCATTCCACATTTAAGTACTGAGTGCAAATTCCAATAATCAGCAGGATTTTGGAGATCTAGGACAATATACTGTGTATGGCTATTCATCTTGGGTTAAAACTGATTTCTTCTTCCACATCACAAATAACTGATTTTAATAGCAAAAAAAAGGTGGGGTTTTGTATGCTATACTGGTACAGCACTTAAGTGTGATAATGCCTCTCTCTCTCTCTGTATATATATATATAGAGAGAGAGATATTTATATATATAAAATACAAACATTCCCACAAAAGATCACATCTTGCCCTTGCCCCCACTCCTTGCAGAAGTCCCGTTACAGGTACAGAGCTGTGCTGCTCTGGTGGTACTCCCATATATGATATGAAGAGTAAACACCACTGAGAAACCACAGGGAAGGAATTACAATTCATTTCATCCCTCTTCTCCTTTCAGAAATTTTCCAGCTGCTGAGCTTTGTATTTTTCCATGACTGCAGGTAACACCAAGTACTTCAGAAGCGTAAAATCCTCATTGTAGGCAATTCCATACCAGCTTACACCCTAATCTATAATCCTTAAAGCCCAAGATCTTTATTTTAGTAACACCTCCAAGCACACTCTGAATAGTTGTGGTAGTAAAGTCAGTATCTCATAAACCTGGCAGACTGTTCAGCTTCTGACATGAATAACTGTCTAATACAATGGAAAAGAGATTTCTTCCTTTTTCCCTA